CAAATACTACAATTCTGTTAACTCTTTGTACCTTTTTACTTGTATTTATCGATTTATATCGATAACATTTTGATTAGCTGTAAAATTGTTGATAACAAGTTAACTGAAAAAAAAAAATTCTAAGGTATTTAACACCCTGCATTATTCTAATTACAATTACTTAACACACTTTATATTTTATTCTACTTATTTTTGATATATTGACAAAAATAGCACAAACAATGACGATGTTTATTTAAAAATTATTTAAAGCTATTTTCATATTAATTAAAATAAGAATAAATTAAATCCTTTTACTATTTATTGTATGTGACCACCATTTGGTTCAACACATTTGTTTCAACTTTAATTGTCCGATTTTTGCAATTCAATAATAGTTTCGAGTGATCCCTTAACTGATTGATTACCATTATAATGCTTTGCCGAAGTTCGACGATATTATCATCAATTCAAATTTTTTTACTTAAGTACGTAGTAGTTGTTAGAAATAGTCGATTTACAAAAATGTGCACTTTTTTTTTTATAAAATAACGTTTTTTTTCCTAATGTCTCACTTTGACCCACCTCGACCACAAATACATATAAAGGTCCTCAGTGGCATGGTGGCAAGCTCTGCCCAATACTTCGTTGCTGTTTATATTCAATTTAGTTCGCTTTCGGACCTGTTGCTAGTCGTTATTTTCTTTTTGGCAGTCTAGCATTAGTGCGCTTGTGATGTTGTTTATTTTTTGTTAGTTTGAAGTTAGCCATGGAGTTGGTTGAAAGGTAAAATAAACAGACATAATCTGTGAATCAATTACCATTCTCTGTGCTTTTTATTACGTTTGGTAAAGAAACATTTTCCCGACGGTTAATCATCAAAAGATAGACAACATCATCTCTTGGGGAAACATATTCTCTGGTTGCTATCAGAAAAATGTGATCCCAACTGGGTTGCTAAAAATGAAGCACCTGAAATTAAATATCGATGCAATACATGTTCAAAATTTCGATGTTTAGATTGTTTCTTTGAATGGCATAATGCCAATTCGAAACGTGAATCACACCAACACGTATTTATTTGTATCTTTTTTATGGGTAATGATAATTTTTATTTTATTTCTTAAACAAAAAGGTTTTCGAGTAATGCTGGATTACACAGGTCCACCACATACAGGTCAAAAGGATTAAAATGCAGCCAAAAGATTGATTGATTGATTGATCCTTTTCTATATATTTTTCATTGACTTAGTGGGTCAATTTTATCCACCGAAGCCAGAAGCACAATAATTCACACACTATGGTATCTCAGAAATATTTTGATGCCAAAAATGTTGACCCGCTAATACCCACCAGGGCGCTTTACGTGTGAATGTAAAGTCCGGGCTCTTGGATATTTCGTATTCAGAAAATTTTTTGACCCGTCTGACCATCTTGCTGTCATAATTATTGTGTTAATAGATTTAGGGGTAGATCTTCTAGTTATTGTGCCAAATTGCATCTCAGAGATGCAGATTGCCAGTTAATTTTTGATCTAAAAATATCGGACTCGTATATTTTTCTAGGATTGTTTTTAAAGCAGTATCTCATATTTTGTCTGTTACAGCTCTTGCAAAATATATATACATATATTTTTATATGTTTTAAAAAATTCCAAACAAAACTACGTCCTCCGTTCGCATTGTTCTTCACTGAGCTGATGAATTTCACGAAATTTAAGTGTAGTGAAATTATATTTCGAAACTGAGTCTACTAAACTGCCTGTCTTCTGTGCTTCAAACAACCCTAATATATTTGTTTTCTTCAATCAAAATAAGTTTTTCCATCATATATGTCTAATATTACACACATTAACGGTTTCTTCAAACTTCTTTGCAAGCTTATGCCTTATATCACTGATAACTGTGTCAATAACTAATCAGTCTTAATCGATATGGCTTAGCAATATGTTTAATATAAGGATGACGTTAATTATCAGTCACAGCACTCGTCAAAATAACATTACATTTTTTCCAATTTCTCGAAAACAAATGGAGTAAAATATAAAGCATAGTATATAATTGTAATCAGAATAACTTAATACTAATAATTAAATATACAGCATCGCTTGGCTGTTAACCCTACACCTTGTCATCTTTAAAAACAAAAAAGTTCGTTTCAAATTATCTTTTTGGTAACTCTTATAGAAAAAAAACAATGGAGCACACAGCGGTCTTCTTACATAGTAAAATATAACGCCATAAAAGCGCAGAATTCAGTTTACTTACTCTAATTTTTCTCAGATGATGTTCGGTTGGCCACAAATCCAACAAATCGTATGGCAAAAAGTAAGGATACCTGTCTCTAACCCTCAACGGCCAATACAATCCCAAAAATTTGTCGAAATAATACCTATGTTCGTTGTAGTAATTCATCTTGCTTCCGTACGTTCTGTCATATCTCAAGAGCAGCATTTTATCTCAATCGGTATGCCTAACCTTGCGTTAAAAAAAAACTGCGACCGCGATAACGTTGCTCAAGTTTTTGAGGACGTAATTTGGATGCAGTATAAATGTGTTATAATTTTACTAGCTGAATATCTGCCAAAACGTCGTGTCCCACGTTTGCTTTTGTAATGGAAGAAAAATAGATGGGACGCGTTATAAATATTGGCTAAACATAACCGACCAAGTCATGCGATCCTTAAATATTGGATTGGATGGCGATCGCTATAATACGCAAAAAGTTAATTTAAAGTGAAAATTTGTAATACTAAAAAGCATTGGGAAAATTTAAAGTGAAATTTATGTCTTGTATACAGAGTGTCCCAAATTATAACAGCATATTTTATGTTCAAAATAAGTTCTAGTTTTCTATGTACATAAACTTATATTCAAAAACGCCCCTAATGGAACCACATGCAATAAAAGGAATGTAACATACATAAAAATACTTTTTTATTAATATTTTCGAAACCGGTTGAGAAATTTTAGCGTTTTAGTAGTTTTGGCATGCTGAATCTGATTCTAAAATTATAAATGTCAAATTTTATTCAGGGACGTAACTTTTAAGGAGTGTAGGTAACAGAAACCGCAATAACATTTTTGTGGGTTGAGTTTTAGACTTCTTTCTTATAAAATCGAAAAGAACCAACTTTCAACATAAGTTAATAGTTACTTTGACAATTAGATTAAATGCTAATACTTACTTAAGTTTTATTACAAATGATCTTGCCGAATTGTTAGAGAATATTCCCATATGTACTCGTATGAAGATGGAGCACGGTAGAAAATGAAAATTTTTGAAAGTGGATAAGTCACTTTGAGGTTCTTAGTAAATATCAAAATATTAGAATAGAATCACGACTATGTATTGAAAATAATGGAAATGTGTTTGAAAACTTTAATGTTCTATAAGGAATTATGAACTAAACTTACCGATTACCATTATTTTGTCTTTCATAAAAATAGCGTACTAGTGAGTCATTAAATGAAAATTAACAAATATAATCCCATTGATCTGGTTCCTATGCCTACTTTTCAATTTTTGATGAATACATAAGATAGGCATGCTAAACAGCGTGTTTTTTAAATCCATTTTTCTCGCAAACGATCCTCCCTAGGCGTCACATTCAAGGCGTAACAAAACACACCGATCCGATTTTACAAGTTTATAGTTTGGTCCACTAATTTTAAGACATCCTGTAGTATCAACCTATCAACAATTTGTTAATTATTTTTGGTCATTTTCCATTAAGTCCCCGTTCATTAATCTCGATTGCCGCCTATTCCCTAATGTTTTTCTATACCGATACAGTTTGTATTTAATTTACGATTTAATGTATATCAACCGACTAATTCAATTTAATTCGTTGTCGAATTAATAGGCGAATCATTAAAAAACGTTTCGTAATGTTCTTTTGGCAAAAATTACAAATTACGAAATTATAAAAACACACTTTCTTGAAATTAAGCCCAAAAATTCGCGACCACAGAGCACTCGGTAATGCTGATAAGAGGTTACACAGAGATCTCGAAAATATCGAAAAAAGAAGATGCAAAAATCACAAAAATAGTCACAGGAATTTTATTTTCTGAAATGTTTTATTGCACGATTCTTAGTGTGGTATTTGGTTTTCTCTTGAACGGATATGGTTTTAAAATATCCATTAAAATGTCGGATTAACTTTTATTGTTTTTTTTAATACACTTTATCAAAAGCAATTAGGTAAATTCTGCACCTACATTGTCCCAAATATTAAAATGTTAAAAATTATATCTGTATCGGATTTATTATTTACTATTTACAAACCTTCTGGATTCCTCCTGCGTCGATTGTCGAACCAAACTTGCTGGCGTTTCGCCAATAATATTGTTGGTTTCTTCAGAGCTTAACTCAGGGAAACGTAACTGAAAATTCCAGGAGGATTAACGAAACGTCAGCAAATTCCATTTATCAACAACCGATGCAAAAACTGTATCAAATTATATTACTATTTAAAAATCCTCTGAATTCCTTCTGCATATATTGGCTTCTTCAAAGCTTAACTGGAGTTAAGTTGATTGGCGAAACATCAGCAAGTTCGATTCATCACCGACGGAGGAGGAATCCAGAAGATTTGTGGAATTTAAAATTATAGAGTCGCTTACCTGAAATCGTATTTTTTGTCGAACACTAATTAATGCATGTTAAATATTTTTCGGAATCGATTATTACTCAAAAAATATTTTTACACAACTATTTTTATGTATTAATACTTATATGCATAACAATATTATAAATAACTATATTATATATAAATATTAAAAATAAATAGAGTTAATAATTAGATAATTTATTGTTAACATCAGTTAAAGTTTTTTTGGCACTTTCGTTTTATTTTTTCAATGTATGATATTTGTTCTGATATATGTAGCGGTTTTATTAATTTTTAGCATTTTTATGTATTCAAATTAAAACAGAACAAGTCGTACGTACAAAAACTGCAATAACTTTTTGTTGAGTTGACTTTTAGACCATTTTCTTATAAAGAAGATATAAAATACGAAGAAATTTACAAAATATATTTATTTAACCATTTAACACATAAGGTATCAAATATTTACAGATACTGGCAAAATTATTTTCTTCAGCTGCTGACGATCGACAAGATTTCTTCAGTCACATTTCGGTGGAAGGGTTATCATCATCGGTCAAAGTACAAGTCGTTTCTTAGCTGCAAAGGACGTCCATTCATAAATACAAAAGCGCAGTTTTTCCTTGTTTGGCAATAAAGTAGCAAATGACACTAGAAAAGTGTACAAGATTTTGCTGGAAATTATCGACTATTAAAATCAAATATTCTCCATTTGAATGCAGGAAAAAATTACAGTATCTCTCATAAATACACCCGAGAATTTCAATTGTATGTGGCATATTTTCAGTTATGGCCATTTGTATTCGTTAGTGTATTGTATTTGTATTTTATATCGGCAGATGGCAGGTAATAATAATAGAGTAGAGTAGAGTAGAGTAAACTCCACTTAATATAGGTTTACTTTTTGCTCGAAACGTGAAAGTTTTATTCTAAGTTGCTAAAAACATCAATACTTATAAAACGTCGGCGACCTCAACGTTTCTACTACTACCGTTAAAAAACCTACTGGGATGCAACTATATTTCATAACTCGATCAGTTCGATTCGGATTTCTAGTCTATTATTATTATTTAGCTACTAAAGATATAGAGGGCCTGCTAATGCTGATAATACAGGAACTTATTAAGCATGAAATTTTTTTTCAAAAGATTCATTCAATATGCACATGCACGCGATTTAACATTTAATTTTACTCAGGGAATTATAGAGGCATGCTCTTAAAATCATTAACCTTTTCTAAATATCAATGCCGCATCAATTTTAACCGTAGTAGGGCCACTGTATTAACTAATTGCTATATGCTATTTTACATGAAAATGTAATACACCAATTAACCAAACAAGAAAAGAAAAAAAAACAAGGAATCAAAGTATGATTAAATATTATGAACATGCTGTGAGATGAATCTTATCAATAGCTAGTTTTGTAGAAGAATTAAGCCTTAGAAGAAATATGTCTATGTGACTTAAATAATGATTGTAGTTGTTTTGCATTTGTGTAATTCGTATTAAAAAAGGCTCAATAAAATAAATTTAACTTTCTTAAAAATCTTGAATTTGCCAATACCTTTATACAACATAATATTTGAGGACATGCAACTTTATTAGATAATATTTTGAAACGAATTTAAATTTGGGTTGAATTTCAACACAAGGTAACGTAAAAGCTTTTTTTGGATGTTTTCAATATGCTAATGTATATAAAATCCATTTAGGTGCGACTTGACAAATGTGTTTTATTAAAGAATCATATTTTTCGGATTATTGAAATTTCTAGAAACTCACATCATAAATCCCAAGATTCGACACGATTTATCAACTATTATTTCAATATGTTTATTAAACAATGGTCTAACATTACCCCGAGATCCTTGACATAGGAAGTTATTTCAAGAAATATATTACTTAATTAAAATCAATGTTACTTATTAGCCTAGAAAAGTCTGGAAGTTATTAATCTTTATTTTGTTTTTTTAAGTATTCGGTAAAACTATTTCAGTCTGCTTGTAGTTCCCAGCAATATCAACTTATGTACAGGGTGTACGAAATAAAGTTTCCGTTAAACTTGAATCATTTTTTTTTTTAATTTTATATACCTTGTAGATTATTGCATTTTTTGATTCCCTGAGAAATTCTAGATATATTTCATGTATGTCTTATAAGAATTTGGTCACGTAAATGTAAGAGTTCATCCAAAAATTGTTGTACCGAGAAGTCTCGTTTACGGATATTTTATCTGATCTTTTTTAAAGCATTACTTTTGTTGTTTTGTAAATCAATAATACAGAACTTGTGTCAAACTGACAAGTAAATAGATGTTACCTAATGCCTTCTACAAAGTCGTATTAATTTTTAATACCAAATCGGGTTTCTAATTCAAACAATTGACGTCATTTTTGCTAACCTCGTATTAATTTACATAGAAAATATCTACTAAAAAAATGCAATAATATACAGACTGTTCTATTTCAAATAAGAAAGCTCGTATTTACTCCAGATTAATGGGTGAATCAGTATATATGTGGTTTCTAAGTTAAGAGAAGTATTAAAGTAAGATTTGAATTAACCGCTTTCATTTTACAAAATGTGGTGGTTGTAAAAATTTTCAAATTGTCACTTACTCTAATATCCCTGAATGCTTGTTCGGATGGACTGTCGCTCAAATAATACCAATAAGACCTCGGAGAAGGCCAGTAGTACGGATACCATTCCCTGGAGGTTATGGGCCAATCTGTATGGAAGCTCAGTGGGCGATATATTTTGTAGTGATAAAAGAATTTCGCATCTGGCCAGAAAGAATATTCGTAGCCCGAAATTGGATTCCTCAAATAAGTCAGCATCTTCTAAAAGCAACGCCAATATAGCAAACTTAAACGGCAAATTATTTATTAACATTTCATTCACTTACCGTAATTTTTCAGACACCTATGCTTCGAACAACCTTTTCCGGCGATCTCCACTTGACTTTTGCCTTAGTTAATATGAAATAGAATATTTTGACCGGGGTCTGGAAAGCTTCCAAAATTTTTTTATCCATTTTTCATTCGATGACTAACGCCTTTAAATAGAACTTTTGTGCATCGCTAAGGTAAACCTTCCAAACACCTTTTGGATTTGTCATAATGTTTTTTTTTTTGTATGCCGACGATATTTGGCACAGGTTTTGTTATTAAACGCTAAATGAACATTGAGTACGTGCTAATTTGCTTTTTATTGTTTATAAAATTTATCCAAGGGACCGGGATTTTCAAAAAGGTAATTCGTTAAATAACCGGTAATTAGACTTTTGAAGTAGTTAAAATTGTATAGTTTTTCTTTCCGTTATTTATAGACAAAAAACATTGTCTCTCAATAAGAGAGCTAAACATAACTTTTTCCCAATGCAAAAAAGAAAATATCAACTGTTATAGGGTAGGATAAAATCAGAAGGAGAGGAGGGTAGGAAGAGAAAAGGCAGAGGATTTGTACTCACTGTGTAAAGTTTTATTCTTATATACCCGGAATATTATTTTCAAAATTTATGAAGGACTGACTAAAAGTTATTTAGAATAATTGAAATATGTAAATGATTAAATCCCTTTTATTGTAATTTATTGTAATATTGCACATTATCACGAAATTCCAAGCCAAGCTTATTTATTCTTTTCAATACAAACCATAATATTTTAGCAAACAAAATATTTCAACTTGCATTTTTAATTAGTTTTAGCCGACTTTCTAATGAGAGCGAAAATCTAGAACTCAAAAATTTGGAGTTCTACCAAATTCATATCTCCCTTTTACCATTCCAAAAACATTACAAAAATGTTAGTAAAGCAGAACATGTGAAATGATCAGCGAAATCATTTGAAGTATTTTATTTTTCTCATAGCGGTTTCATATCCCTTATTTATGGTATTTGCATTAAATCGTAATAATTTCCATAAAAGAACTGCGTATTCCCAATTTTAATACTTGAGCAGCAAACCAGCTGGTATATTTATCAACTAAATTAATAGTCAAAAGCTATTGCCATTGCTCCCAGTGTACAGTAAGAGAAACAAAATGATGAAATGAGGTAACTTGAAATATTTTATTGTTCTCGTCGCTATTGCAATTTTTTTTATTTTTATTTGGTTATTTCCAAAAGGATATCCAAACAAGCATACCGTGCCCTTTTAAAGGTTGGCACAAATTAACCAAAACAATTCCTAATTCTAAGCAGAATAATTCTGAAATTATCTTTAAAACTAAAAAAGAGGTTAAAAATTACTCTAACAATTAACTCTTTCTTACTACTAAGTAAAATATTATTTTAAATTTATTAAATTAAACGTAGTGGTAAAAGGTTAAAACAACATTGAAAATCTTGCGTAATTCTTAATATAAATTAGCGCGTAGTATCTAAAATGTTTTCAATATGTGCTTTAAATAATACGTTAATATGTAACGTGATACCCAAGACCAGAATGATCTTGGAATGTTTCAGCACTAAAAGTGTTAACATTACCATAAAAGTTTAGATCGTCTGCTAAAGCCGCATAATCTGTATGTAAAAAGCACTCTCCAATATCAGACAGAAAAATACTAAATATCAATGAACCCAAATGTGATCCCTGGGAAATACCCGTACTCTGCACACTTTCGGCTGATGCGACATATTGAGTTCTACGACTTAAATCGCTATTAATAAGACCAAAAATTAAGTTATGCACACCAAAGTTTCCAAGCTTGGAAAATTCCGCGCATGCTATTCCCTGCCTTTCTAAATTGTCAGATATTGTTGACGTGATTTAAAATTATATTCTATATATGGTACATTTGTGTATGTGTGTCCATTAAAGAATTGCGTATTTACAATTTCAACATTTCACATTCACACACAACATTGACACACTTCAATATATATTTATCAACTAAATTAATTTGCAAAAGCCATTGATATCACGTTCTCTCTCTCTTTCTCTCTCTAATTGCATCTTAAGGGACATTGCCAATCGAAACATCAGAGTAATTCCTAAAGAATCGGCAATCTTTCTATGAAAAATGGATAATTCTTTCTTCATGTTTCAACCATAACTCGACATCCAAAAAAAAATGATTCAATTTATCTTAATAATATGGAAAAACTAGCGCCCTCTAGGATCAATATGCAAATAAATTTCAAATTCGTAAATTTCAAATTCGTAAATTTCATGTCAAAAAACCTCAAATTAACAATTTATATTATTACATTATAAAAACTTTGTCCCATTCTTTGTGAATTTGCAATATCCCTTACGAGAGATTTATGTCAGAAATTCGGACTTGTTTCCCAGACATTCTGACTTGTTTTTCAGAAATCCTTACTTATTCTTCAACAATTTGCCTAAGTTAACTAAAAATATATTTTATTTTTGGTGACCTTGTAGCGTTTTCGTATAGAAATCAAAACCTATCGACTAGGTGAATAAGGACAATTGAAGTAACAATTTATCATCTAATTATTAGTAAACAACTATTCGGAGGGATAAAAAAGGATACCAACGGAATTTGATCGTGTCGCAAAAAACTGTCAACCTTGGTCATCATCATCATCTTTACAATATAGCTTTCCTTGTAGTACTTACGCTTAAGTTATCGATTTTGTTTTCGAGTTCGTTGAAATCGTAGTCCAGTGATCGATAATAAAGGGAGGGGTAATAGCTCAGGTAATAGTTCTTTAAAAAACTGGTCAGATATGACCTATAATAGGGCCAGTAGGAATACCAACTCCTAGGGTTGTAAGAATAGCTGCTCGGCCAGTAATAATAACGGCTGGGCCAGTAATAGGAGTAGGTCCTCGGCCAATCGTAGTACCACCGATATGCCTTCGGATAATAGGAGCTGCTAGGCAGACTAACAGTCGTATAATAGCTGGACCCTATAGGGTAGCTCCGATAATAGATCCGCTGGAAATAAAACACAACATTGATGCGTGGCGAAGGTTATTTTCTGCTGCGCGTTGGGGGTGATTTTTAAAATGAAAGCGGACGGTTAAAGATGATGGTGGCTTTTAACTTATTTGCATCGCCTGTCAATTCGTTAGCAGTGCAATATGGGCAGTTCGCAACATCTATTGTGTTCCAGTAGATCAGGAGATCAACGGATCAATTTCATTGTTGGAGCAACTCTACGTTTACACAAAACAAAACGAAAGCGTGGTAACTTGAAGAAGTAATCTAGTCTCATACGATGAAGTTAGTGAAAAAAGGTGAAAAGGAACCCCCTTTCCTCTCGTCTCTTCTTCCCAAGAAGGGACTAATACTTTGTGTATATGTTGTAGCGTCTGTTCCAGTAAACAAGTATTTTAATAAACTTGGAGTGGTTAAAAAAGATTTTTCCGAGTCTATCATTCTTCCTATGTGTGTCGCTATTGCAATTGCTTACCT